CTTAAGTGAACAAAGTGAAAACCCAGATCTCCTAACCAGGACTTAGGAAACCATGTTCTGGGGAAAGAGGGGCGGCTGCCAGTCTTCCCAGTCATGAGGTCTTATCAAGGTGTGCATGCGAAGAATCAAGATTCTTAATCCCAACTTTGCAGTTCTGGGTTGGGTTTGTCAGGGGTGGAGAAGTGTTTTATGGAGAACAAGAAGGGGAGAATGGCAGCAATCAAGGCATGAGATAATGAGGGGGCTGGAAAAGAGCTGTAGATCTGGAAAGCAAATTTGGCTCTTAGAGGCGTTCAAAATGCCTACAAAACTTGATGGTCAGTATGCTGTTGTAGGAGGATAAAAAGTTTCATGCCTTATTTATTGCAGCATTAGCATGAAGCTGCCCATACACCACTTACATTTATTGTATATAGGGGTCCGTGAAATGCTCCATTTGTCGAGCTGAGTGTACTTCAAGCAGTCACTCAGTGCTAAGGAGCCTGACCGAGGTTTGCTTCATTCACTGCCTGCGTTTTTACTGCTCAGGGCTCTGCAACATGAGCCTCTGAACAGCACAGCACCACGTTGCAACTGGCTTCTTTAAAAGCCTCTTGAAGGTACAATTCCCAATGAGACATAGATCCTTTGGGAACACAGAGGGATCAGATATCTCCTCTGAGCTCAATGATGGTTCCCAAAAGGCCATGTTTTACAATACTGATTTTTAAATATGATTCTCCAGTTACTTCAATAGAAACAGTACAGATGGAAAAAAAATCAACAGGGCTTATATGATCTGCAGCATCTCCAAACCCATATGTCAAAGGCTGATTACAACAGATCAGTCATAATTGTCAAGAGAGAAAAACAAGAATAAAGCTGAGTTGACCTACAAGGAGCCGTCTCTTGCTGAATCTTTCCAGGCAAGTGAGATGAACTGTCACAGATTTCCACCAGCTTAGTGAGCCATATCTTAGTATAAAAAAAACCCAAAAAACCAAGCGAGACACGATGAACAAGTAAATCTGGATAGAAAGATTTGCATCCAGAGAGACACTAGCAAATAGTCAGCATTGTGTTGATGTTGGACAGGGCAAATATGATGGAGTAAGTATGGGTGGAAATAAAAGCACAGGAGCCAGTGGATTTTATTAATTGTTGGAGCAGTGCACCGAGTGCTGCTTTATTGAAGATGGCTGGGAATTTGTGAGATACATGGAATGAAAACCACGGTAGTGACAAATGCACGTTGTTTCACTGATGTCAATGGAGGTAAACTGATTGAATCCAGAGGAAGAATTGGCCCGCTGTAGGATTCCTATATCAGTGAATAGCTGGTGGGCAAACGGGCTTGAAGAGGCTCATCATGAAATATAGGACCATCTCCTTTGAGGAGGCACTATTTCATGTGTGCCCCAAGTAACTAGCCAACAAAGCACTGGTTCAGGCGAAGTTTGTGGAGGTGCTCAGAATTTTCTAGAGAGGGTAGGGATTACTATTAAATAATGTGCATGATGTTGGCACACATCCCCTAGGAACAGAACTGAGGCATAGATTGTAAAATATATTAGGGATCCTAAAGATGTGAACAGGGGCATTATCTCTATATATCACTCATGGTTCCATCAAAGGCAAGAGTTTGGACCACTTTTTTTTCCATAATATTGTATTTATGGACCTGAATGTTATTTCTGACCTCCAATAATAAGTTTTCAAGGGGACTTAAACATAAATCCTTTTAGATCACAAGAGAATTGTATCAGTTCATTATGGTTGAAGACCAGGTACAATTGTAGTGCCATCTAGTGGTCATTAATATTTCACAGCATGTATATGAGGTGTGAAAGAGGCATACATTTACTAGTAGAGGGAATTTTAAATCCGTGGTATGCAGATTCAAATTAAGAGAAGTGGGGAAAGAAAGGAGAAGTGAAATGTCCATAGATATTATCATCTGAATAACCCTGTAAATTCATCCACAATAGGCTGCCAAATTGCTAAAAATGCAATTAGACTGGGTTAACTCCTTGATTAACTCCAACTGTAAACATTTACAATGACTCCAGAGAAATCCCCTGGATACATAACACCCCCCCTGCATGCTTTTGAATGAATCAGAAACTGGAGAACAACAGCGACTGTACCAAAAACATGATGTGTAACACCATCCATCTAGACAGAGAGTAAATTACTCCATTCCCCCGTTGTGCAGTGTTCAATTCTAGTGCAAACACTTTGCTCCCCAAGCCTCTTTCTCCTATAGGCTCTTACTGCTATCTTCATATATTCCCCCTTGTATTTCACCTGGTACATAAAACTGGATCATAAAATACAGAGGAAGCACCGGTGAAAGAGGAAGCCTTGCTTATTCTTTGGAAATAACACCTTGTTTAACACATATGATGCAGGACGAACTCCACAGAATGCTTCATTTCAATGCCCCTCACAGGACTGCCCCAAATCCAGCCTCATATCCCTCACCTACCCCAAACCAACCCCTTTGGCATCAGATTCAGGTATTCCACAAATGCCAGAGTCTGTAGATCTGAAGGGATGTGCCTTTACTACTCAAGTTTCACACCTATTTGCCAGCTCTGAAGCAGGTTCATTGGCAGGGGTCTGGGTTTTCCGTTTCCCATGGAAAAGCAGAAAAAAACCCATGGATTTCATGTTTTTAGCAGAGAAAAAATGGAGTTTACCTTTTTTGCAGAGAAACCCATGGATTTCCTGCTTTTGCAAAGAGCTGTGCAGGTGGCAGAGCTCCAGCCTGCAAGAGCTGATTGCAAAATGGGCAGGAAACCTCCAGCCCTGCCTGGAGGGGGAGGGAGAGGGGAAGGGCAGGGCCTGAGGCTGTCGCTTACCCAAGGCTGGGCTCAGGCTCACTTTGCTTCCTGGAGCCTGTAAGTTAAGCGGGGCTTGGGGGTTGTGGGGCAGGGCTGGGGGCGAAGCTGGCTTTGGGAAGCTTGCTGGGGCCTGAGGGAATGGGGAGGTGTTAGGGGAAGACATGGAGTGCCCACCAGTGTGGACCTAGAGTGGTACAGTATCAGCCCTTCAGGGAAGCTGCACGTGAAGGTGTGGAGTCTGCTCGGGGCCCAAAACGTCACTCAGGGTCCACATGCCACTGGGCAAGCAGGCACTCCAGGAGGGGCTTTCCCCAACATGGAGAATGCTTGCCCACAGAGCCACATGTGCACCACTGCTCTCACCCCCCAGCCCTGCTCCTGGGAGTGGGCACAGAGACACTTCCCTTCTACCCCGATTCTTGATCTGGATCTGCCCAGCCCCTTCCCTTCTACCCACCCCATCCCTTCCCCCCACACAGACTTACCTGCTGGTGTGTGTGTGTGTATGTATGTATCTCCGTGTGTGTGTTTGTGTTGGGGGGGTGCTGTGGGGGGCCTTTAATTTTAATCAAGGATTTTGGGGTTTTTATCAGAGAATTTGCCATTTTTTATCAGAGAATTTGTGATTTTTTTTATCAGGGAAAACCAAGATCCGTGCTCATTAGATACCATATTTAGGCCAATCACCATGAGAAGGGGAAAGAAGACCGCTCTGAGGGGAGAGGGTGACCAATTTTATAAGAAGAGGTTGCAGCATCACCACTGCTGGGTCTGCAGTGTAAATGTCATAGTAGAGGGGGCAAAGTACAGCACTTGAACCCATTTCTTAGTGATTTGATCAATAGGGATGGGGACACTGTTAAACCAGCGAGCTCAGACCTTGGAGCCAGCACCTAAACGCATTCAACCAAAGAGAAGTTGTTGGCGAGAGAAGCATCCAGCTCTTTTTCTTGCATTGGAAGGGAATGCAGGTTCTTTCAGGCCCTGAAAACCCCTTGAAATCCATGGAAGGATTACCACTGCTATCCCAGCATTGCCTGGGAAGGACTCCCATTGATATCCCAGTGTTGCCTCCCAACTCCCAGTGTTGCCTGTACAAGTTTTGGAGAAGGAGTAGGGATAAAAAGGGGAAAAATGTGGGGGAAATGTAGAGGTCTTTCCTAAAATAAAGAACAGCCCTCAACTGGATGCTGGTTCCAGCCAGTCCCACAGATGAACTGGTGTAGAATGGACATCTCTACACTGTGGAGGCAGTTAAAGGCCATACGGTATGTGACAGGTATCCAGGTTGTAGCTGCATTGGTCTAGAGGCAAAAGGAATCAGGACTTATGATAGAAGTGATATCTTTTTATTAGACCAACTAGATTTTTGCAAAAAAAAGGGTTTAATTGCAAGCTTTTGGGCACAAGCACTCTTCTTCAGGCATAGGAGAAAAGATTGGGAAAGTTCTCCCAGGTCGAAATGAAATTCGTATTTCATAGGAGAGTTGAAGGTGTGGTAAAATTTTCTGTTTGGCACAGTTCATTTTATGCAGGTTAGGCTCAGAGAAAAGTCGGAATAGTTGGTTTACCTTGAAGTTATTTGGTGGCAAGCAGGATGTGGTCATATTTCCTTCTGGTTATGATTGATATTCACAGAAGAGAAAAAGGATGGGATACTCTTCTGGGCAGTAATTTGTTATGTGGTGAGGTATGTCTGGGCTCTGTGATGATGGAAATTACCTTGAGTTCTGATTCCTTTTGACCAGGTGTGGACAAAATGTGGCCCGTGGGCCAGATGTGGCCCACCAAGGCATTCTATTCAGCTTGTGGGGCCCCTAAAAATTTTAGAAAATTAATATTCATCTGCCCTGGGCTGTCTGTCATGCGGCCCCCGATGGCTTGCCAAAACTCAGTAAGCAGCCCTCTGCCCAAAATAATTGCCCGCCCCTGCTTTTGACTCTAAACCAACATGGCTACAACTTGGATACCTGACACGTGGACGATATAGAATTTTAGCCGATTTCTTAAAATGAAATCTCCATAATTTTACAAGGAGGAAGCAAACTTTACCATCTGAAACCTGAGACCCCGCTCCTCCCTTTGTTCAAGGTAATCCTACATGTAATCTCCACCCTCTCCTGGCTTTTATAGTCTGTTACTGATTTGGGAGATGTGACAAAAGATGATGTGTCCCTGAAGAGGAGCAGAACTGGTTGCGTCTCCCTGTCTTTGTTGAATAAGGAATGAACAACTGAGCCAGCTCATTTACCCTCCAAAAAGAAGAAGAGTGAAAACTGATACACCTGCAGCTGAATTTATTTTACAGGTAAGACACTTAAAACCTGGAGTCTTTGTGGCCGAGCAGTTCATCAACAGGGAGCCAGATATACGGTGTGAACAAACCTTGCAGCAATTGACTGCATTGCATGAGAGTTGAAAGGGAAAGTTCAGGCAAGTCAATATAAGAGAGAAGTGAGAACATAAGGCAGCTAGTCCACAAGCTTGCAGGAGATAACGTGAGAACTTGCCCTGTCATTGCTTCATGTAACAGAGGCTCCTGTACTGAAAGCGGGGCAAACATAGTAGGCTGTGCAGGCAGGTGGGCAGCTGAGACAGGGGCTGCATGCAGCAGACCAAAGTTGCAATGGGAAAGACCAAGCTGCTCATTAGACCTAAAGGTGACCATCTCTATGGGTTAGTAAGCCACCTGACTCAGATAGGGCAGCATCCTGGGGTAGATAACCCTTGGAGCAGAAAGGGGAGCGAGGGGGATCATTTTGCAGGGAATTGAGGTCTCCAGAGAGAGTGGCGGCATGAGAACCCCTTGCAGGCACCAAAGCACTCTGAAAGCAAAGCCAAGAGAGCCCCAGGGATGCAGCCTGCTTTAATGGTTATTTACCCAGAGTAGGGGGAGGTTTTCATTAAGCCATAACTTGCCTTTTTTTCCTGTTTGTTTACCCAGTGTGGGGAGGTTTTAAAATGATAGCCTGCCTTTATGTTCTAGTTTAAACTGGCAGGCCAGATGTGGCTAAAAGGGGTGAAGAGAAGAACAAAGGAGTGCCCAAGGGGCATGGGAGGTTTTGATCCCTGCCAGGGCCTGGGCACAAGACAGGTAGGTGGAAGCCAAGATGGCCAAAAGCCTAGACCAGGAGAAGCAAGGTACAGGCAGCTGGAGGCTGAGGGGGCCAGGGCCAGAGCCCAAGAGAGGTAAGAGCAGGACACAGGGGCCCAAGAAGGGTGAGAGTAGGAGATGGGGGGCCTGAGAAAGTCAGAAACCAGGGCTAGGGCCCAGAAGCTGGGGTCCGGGACAGTGGACCTTGGGCTAGGGGCATTCAGCTAGAGAAAAGGGGCCAAAGCTGGGAGCAACAAAGATTTTCAGGCAGAGGGGGCAAACATTGCTTTGGGATTAATTATCTCACTGAATTGATAACTGATAACATCTGCAAGGCATGGGCATGGCTGTAGGGGTGGGCGGAGGCCACACATGCAGCCTTTAAGGTGCCCAGTGCTCTAAGAAACTCATATGGCCAGAAGGGCCACAACAGATTGGGCCAAAACAGCTTGGTAGTGGACTGACTATTGCTTGGCTTCACAGATTTGTGGATTTGCATTCACTAAATAAATATAAATAGTAGACTGGACTCCTTTGGGGCAGCCTCCCAACCTTTCTTCTTTTACAACATCAATGTATGGCAGGCGAGCAGTGGGGAAGGGTACCCCGAGGGACTGGAGGAGGCAGGAGTCATGCATCTGCTGGAGGGTGCTACAGTCCCTCTGGGCACAGGTCCTGTTACACTCCTGTACCGGATGGCAAATATTTATATGAGTGAGTTTTGCAACCCTGAGGTACTTACAATTCATTTTTTCATAGGTTCTGAGTGGATACTGTAAGTATATTGACCCTTTCAGTGCCGTTTATAATTGTAACCCTATTGGCTGAAGAAAACTGGCTTTGGGGAATTGGCTAAAGACTTCAGACAACACAGCTGGAGCCCCTTCTATCCGTTTCCTTTACTTTTCCTGAACATAAAATATGGCCTCTCTACTGAAGCCACAAGCAATACAAGCATTTTCTGATCCTCACTACATAATGAGTGACTTCGGGGATTTTAGCAATCAGAACTCTTGGTAGAGGTGATATCTTTTATTAAACCAATTCAATTGTTGCAAAAAAATGTTATTTATTTGCAAGCTTTTGGGCACATGAGCCCTTCCTCGGGCATTGGAGTGTGCAAAGATTGTAAATTTTCTCCCAGGTGGAAATGAAAATTTCTATTTTTCAGGAGACCTGAAAGGTAGTGTAAGATCTCCTGGTTGAAAAAGTTCATTTTATGCAAGGGTCAGAGAAAAGTTGGAGCAGCCTATTGACCTCACAGTTGTCTGATGGTAAGCAGGGCTTGAATGATGTTTCTTTCTTGTCGTGATGTTTCATACTTCACAGGAGGATGGGTGATGGAAGGCTTTCCCAGGCAAAGAATTTCTCTTGTGCTGAGGCTGCTCTATGAGCATGCAAATTTGGCTCGAGACCGAAGGCTGGAGCAGGGGTGTCAGTTTTCAGATTTCAAGGTGTTGAATTTTGCTTCCTTCTTGTAAAATTATGATGTTTTCAATTCAAAGCGGCTAATTTTGATATCTTCCATGTTTCAGGGATACAGGTTGTAGCCGTGTTGGTCTACAGGCAAAAGCAAGTGGAACTCTTGGCAGAGGTGATATCTTTTATTAGAGATTTTATTAGGGAATTTTATACATTTGTTTCTCTTGGCTTACATTCTGGGCATTGCCTTCCCTTTTTGAATACGTCTATCTGATTTGATGTCAGTTTTAGAGCAATGGCTCTAAAGGAGGAGAAACTTCTATTCTATTTCTATCATTTATTAACAGAGTTTCATACCATATCTACTTCTTACCTTGGCATTTAGGGAGAATGTTAAGTTCAGATCCCTGAGAGTCCTGCTGGGTCAACAGTTGGTACTGTAATAGTTATTCATTATATTGCACTCTGTATTGGCTGATATTTAGTGATTCAAACTCTTTAGACCTTGCATGCAAATATCTGTGTGTATACACACCTCAAACTCACTAGAAGCCACTTGGTTCATTCCCACTAGCCACTGGCTTCCTTATGGTGTTACTCATCAAATACTGTAATTTTAAGCAGTTGTCTCTTGCTAAAGCTCTCTACCCAGATAGATGTTGGGCTAGCCAGCTAGTTAGCTCCCCTTGACTGGATCTTCAGCTACAGTTGGCTTGTTCATTTTTCATCCTTTCTGCACTGGGAAGCTGGAGGTCCTCGTCTTTTTTGGGATTCTTGAAGTCTGGGTGATGATGCTGGGAGCTTTCCTTAGCTCTGGGTGGACTGGGTTTCCAGGGGCTAGAGTTCCTATGTCTTACAGGAGCAACAGATCAGATGGAGATAGCCATGCTCTCCTAGCTGAGCTTGTAAATCAGTAGTTTGATTTTGAGGGACAGGATCTGCTGGCTTCCTCTGAAAACTGAGTGGGGAACAGGAAGAGTTAGTACATCTGAGCCTCCCAGCTCAACCTCATGTTCTGCTATGGATGCCTGCTGTGGACATGGTCTACAGCTGGGAAACCAACCTGGATGATGATGATAGCTGGAAAAAACCCCACTCCAACCACTTCCACCAAAGGGAGAGGACTGGAGATACAAGAAAGAAAAATCCCAGGCAGCTCTCAGCTGGTAGCACTGAGTGCTAATCTGCTTCTAGTTCATGTTGCCTACCATTTCCTAGTCTCTTGGAGCCACAGTTCCTATCACTTGTAACACGAGAATGATCCTATTCCTATTGTTGCTCTCTCCTATTGAGATTGTAAGTCCTTCTGAGCAGGAAGTCTGTATTAAATGTATGCATGAAGTACCCGGCACAGTAGGGACCTCAAGACGGGACTGTAGTATGACAGCAGCAGCACCAAACTAATATTTGCATAGCTGGAGAACATACATTTGGATTAATTCATTTTTAAGATTTTTACTCAATATGGTAGGCTGTGCTAAGCTAGTCAGGCAGTTCACGGGGCTTGATTTTGTAAGGCACTTGCCAATTTAATTAGGTAGTGAGCAAAGGAACCATAGCACAATGACTGGGGTGACATGCACTTAGAACATAACCATTTCTTTTCTAGCTTTTTTTTGCAGGCACCATGAACATCCAGGAATATTTCACCAGAATTTCTTACAAAGGCCCCAGTGAAAACCTGGACTTGGAGACATTAACTGCAATCCTCCAGCACCACATCCGGGCTGTTCCCTTTGAGAACCTCAGCATCCACTGCAGGGAGACCATTGCGCTGGAGTTGGAACCAGTGTATAACAAAATAGTGAGGAGGAATCGTGGTGGCTGGTGCTTGGAAAGTAACCAGCTGTTGTTCTGGGTTCTGAAAACACTGGGATTTAATGTCACTCTTCTGGGAGGAAAAGTGTACGACCCAGATGATAAGACATATGCTGATCATCCCAATCACCTTCTGTTAAAAGTGGCCCTTGCTGACAAATCTTACATTCTGGATGGTGGGTTTGGGGCGGACTATCAAATGTGGGAGCCCATGGAGCTGATTTCTGGGAAAGAGCAGTCTCAGACTCCTGGCACCTTTCGCTTTCTGGAAGAGAAGGGGACCTGGCACCTGGAGAAGAGAAAAAGGCAGGCATACTTTTCCAGCCATGGCCACTCTAAGGTTCATCTACTGCAAACAAATGACTACAGGAAGATTTACATCTTTACCCTTGAGCCACGAGAGATAGAAGATTTCAGGGCCTTGAATGTGGAGTGCCAGACATCTCCAGATTTTGTTTTGGTACGGAAGTCCATCTGCAGCCTCCAGACCACCAGTGGGATGCGGTCCTTAATTGGGTGGAGATATACTGAGATAAAATACAACTACAGGGAGAACATGGATCTGATAGAAGCCACGATTCTTCCTGACGAAGAGGTGGAGAAGACACTGAAAGACAAATTCAATATTACTCTAGATAAGAAACTTCAACCAGTGAATAAAGGCAAGTCATCTGTGTTTCACCACTTGGCCAGACTCTAATCCCACAGGGTAACATCAGAAAGAATCTCTCTCAGCATCCAGTTGATTTCAAATCACCTAAGGCCTGGGTTATCACTTTTCATCATGGGTAATGAGAAGGGTGGCACTGTAGGAAAGAAATGCTGATTCTCACAGCTCCACTTCCTTCCCTGCTTCTTCCTTTGCTCCAGATGTGTATACCAGTTACAATTTGCTTCCTACTTGGGCCAAGCTCGGCTGCACCGGCTGGTGAATTGGGAACTGAAAGCAAGTCTTTGCCTATTCTCTGCTTCGCCTTCCATACAGCTGCTCAAGGAATATCAATGCAGAAAGACCATGCAAGCCCCCTTACACTTGAATGATAAGGCACGGGCACAGTGTTTCTTAAATCTGCTGGTTCCCACCTGTGGCTCTGCGTCAACACATTGTGCATCAGGGATTTAGACCCTGCTCATGGCCAAACATTAATTTACTGCCACATTTGCAGCCCGAAAAGCAGACAGCTAATGGGATGTTTATTGACCTGCTTCTGAGTCTTGACACAGCCTCCAAGTTCTTCGTGACCTGAGCATGTAGGGACACCTGTGGGACCAATTTTGGTGGAAATGACAGCATTTATAAAAAATATAAATTAAGCCTGATTTTTAAAACCATTTTCACTGACAGCATTAACTCAGATTTTCCCCAGTTAAAAGACTCATGATGATTAATTTTCATTAGTCAATATATTTTTCAAAATTGTTTGTTTGGTGAGAAATATTTTAGGATGACCTGCCTTTTAAAATAAAATTTCTGCTCCATTGTTGCTGTGGTGGGTACATTTCATCCGAATCATCAGCCACTGTATATAATGCTTTTAAACTGGGGTCACTGTCCTGCAAAACCTCGCTTGTGAACGGTTAATACTAAGTCAATGGAGTTACTTTCCTGTGTAAGGAGCACAAATGTTTGCTGTTTTAATTGATCTGCTGTCCAGAAATGTTACAAGTGAAAATCCAGGGAGTAAAATCATTGTTTTTAATCAATTTAAAAAAGAATGTCCAGCTAAATCGTTGCACTAAAATCAACCGTAGTATCAGCTTTCTTTCACCCGGGACCTTTATCAGGAGACTCCTTCCCTTAAGGGGATATGAATCCCGTAGCTAATAGGTATTATGCCTTATTACTACAGTTTGTGGTGTCATTTGACAGACACAACTGACATAGCAAGAGCTTACAAAGGGCTGTCATCATTTTAACGTGGTTAAAGAAACAAATGTGAAATACTGCCTCTCGGTAGAATAATGTTCCCTCTCCTATGACCAGACCAAGAGCTTTCAGCTTAGCTGTTCCAATAGGTTTGTCCCAAAGTCCAATTAGCAATGCCCCTTTACACATAATATTGTAAGGGAATTAGTCAGGGGATCACAAACAGTTCCTCCAGCAGATACAGATTTATCTCAATCCTTACAACATCCCTGCAGGAAGGGAAGTGCTGCTACTCCTAATTTACAGCTGGGACATTGAGGTGGAGAAAGACCAGAGTCCCCAGCACTCAAAGGCTCCCCACAAAGGTGATACAGTTGTCTACCCTGGTGATCTTCAAAACGCCTATCTTGCTGGGGTTGTCTGGCGGTCTTTCCTGCCCAAGTGCAAGAGGGCTGGACCCGACGATCTGTAAGGTCCCTTCCAGCCCCTAACGACTATGAAACTATGAAAGGCCTTTATGGTTCCATAGTGACTGCAGACAGGGCAATAGGAGTGGGATTACTTGTGCAGAACCAATGGATCCTTTGGTCACGTTCCCAAACACAGGCGCAGGGAACAACTCAAAAGTGCCTGACAGCGGTCCTATCTCAAGGAGTTCCCGCTCAGTCTGTCATGCTCACTGCAGGCTGTTGCCAGCTTTTTGCTTAACATGACTTCAGCAGGCAGAATCCTAAATCAGAGCTGTAATTTTGAGATCCTCTAACTTCAGTGAGAGCTGGGTGCAGAATCCCCACTGATGACTAGTCAGGCCCCAGACTTTGATGTCAAGAGGTGCGGAGCTGGATACCTGCACTCTTTTAGAAAGCTGAGCCCATGGCCTCAGGAATTTGGCTTTAGAAAATAAGAACTGAGCTCTTAATTCAGACGTTGCTGCTGCGGTCAGCAGATGAGAGGCTTTGGGGAATCAGTCGGGAGCTTTCAATCCAGAGCCCAGTTAGCACAGGTGGCCAGGCTTGTCCCCAACCCAGCTGGTCAAACCATTACATTGTTGGGCAACCTGAGCACAGGACTCAAGGACTGAATGGCCTATAGGGACGGCATGACTCTTATCCTGACAAGTAGCCCCTTGAGGATAGGCTTGTGGGCACTTTGCAAGATTGCATCAAGAAAGTTGACCTTGGTGGTGCTTGGATGGTACTTGTGTTTTGAACTTTGTTTCTAGAAGTGAAGGTGAGTTGATCTGTCAAGGTGAGGGTGTAGCTTCACTTAAGGCTTGTACCAACAAATGATTCACCCATAAGCAAATTTTACTGCCACAAAGACAGCTGCACCCATATGAATCCCTGCCTTGTATCACAGATAACTCATTGCCCCATTGACCAGGGCAATTTTTTTTCCACTCACAATTAATAACTTCAGCACAATGATTTTTGCGTGCATGTCTCTGGTGCAAAGGATTTTGGGGGTTGCTAATTGATGTCCCACAGTCCTTTGCATGTTATTTACCAGTGGGTCATCTTCTACTCTTGGCCTGACACAGAACAAATGTTCCGTTCCTGTTCAAAAGGCAATCAGGACTCATAGTAGAGATGATACCTTTTATTATCCCAACATGATTTTTGCAAAAAAAATTCTTTAGTTGCAAAAATCTTGTTGGTCTAATAAAAGATATCATCTCCACTATGAGTCCTGATTGCCTTTTCCTTGAGACCAATACGGCTTCAACCTGGATACCTCCCTGTTCATAAGTTCTGCCATGTGGTCAGGCTTTTCCTTTTGGGCTTGGACACTCCAGGAATCAATATGTTGGAATTTCATCTACGGTCATGCTTGCTTGTTATGCCACAAGACCTCTTCTGAAGTCACAGAGCTTATTTCCAGTGGGATAAAGTGAAGTTGTAGGACAACCATCCTTAGTAACAGGCTCAGGAACTAGATCTAGAGCTATAGCCCATGTGAGGGCTGTGGAAGTTGGAATCTGTGAGTCCCAGACACTTGAGGACACTGGTGTTCACCACCACAAAACATCTAGTGACCTTGAGGGTGCAGAGGGAAAAGAACAGAGCAGCAGATGTTCATGGAGCACGTAGATGCATTCGTCATGTGCGGAAGGGTTGCTTAGGAGTGAAGAGAGTTTCTAAAGCAGGACAAGAAGAAAGGTGGGTATCTTTGTCACAAGGGAGTTGGCTGGAAAGGGATTTGATCTGATCCCAAAGCTGGCAGGATCTGCAAGGGTGCACCAAGGCACAATCGGTTCCCCAAACTGTTTCGAATTCAAGGCCCTCGGGCACTGCTACTTCCTATCAGACACAGAACAGCTTGCAGTGCAAATCCCACTTCTCGAGCCTCCTAAATCACGTGTTGGGCTTCTGCTGTAGCAGTACACCTGAATGCTCTTGGCTGACCCTGGAGAGAAGTGTCTGCTCACTGCACCTGTAAGCCCTTGCTCAGGATTTTAATGTTAAATCCTTTTATGTTAAACTAACTCTCTTCAACCCACCACCACCTTTGTTTGCCCAGTTCAGGATGCTTGGGAAGCTCGTATTTACCCACTTTTATTGTGAAAACAGAACAGGCAGTGGACAGACAAATAGAGACTATTTGTTTTTGCTCAGAATGAAGTTTCATTTCCCTCTGTCTTGCCTACATTTATAGGCAAGGTACTTCATCTGTCTCACATATAGCCCAGGAGACAGTCTTAGCCTGTATTGCCAGGGTTTAAAGCAAAGGTCTCAAAATCCCAGAAACCATAAACAGCACATGACTAAAATGGCCAGAGATCCAACTTGTGTCTACTATGTGCTAAGCAATGAACAAGTGCAAGACTTAAAATTCAGGAGAGCAGCAAGTGGGCGCAGCAAACCCTGCAGATCCATCACACAGAGATTTCAAAGCAGTTGATAGCTACGTTGTCTTCAAACATACAAAGCCCTTTAGGCAAGAACCCACAAACTCTACATAGGAACCTTTAAGATCTTTCCTTAAGGTCTCCTGGACAATGAGATCTCCTGGACAATGTGCTCCTGATGGTTGTCACTGGGAGCTAGCATCTCACGGGCTGCTCACATCCTGCAAATCTCTCTACCTCTGCCTCTCTACCCTTGGGGAGTTGCTCTCTCTTGTTCACATAGATCTTTTGCAGAACACAGCATGCAGTTATAATACAAGCTAGGTATTCATCTCCTTCCTTAAGTTGCCTACTAAGAGCCCACCATCTGATTACCTGTCTCTCAAATGCATACTCCACTGTCAGACAGTGACAGGTCCTTGCTGTGTACCAAAAGGTCCAGTGAAAAGCTACATTGCCCACAGCTAGAGAGGAGCATGCAGGATCTCCCAACTTAAGAGGATGCCATCCACAATAGCTATGCTGTTTGCCCTGCTGGGAAACCAAACTTGTATAATAAGGGAAAACAGAGAAGAGCTCCTGAAAAGTCTGAAATTGTGAACTTTTCTAAACCAACCTGCACTGACGGTAGGGAACCCATCACAGTGGTCAACTTGGAGCCAGACAGAGAGACCCCCCCTTCCTCATTAAGACCTCTAAAACCCACATACGTGAAATCAGGGAGCACTGTTGATGAAGAATCAGCAGTAATCTAAGGATGGGCAAGTCCTGTTTCCTTTCATGCATGCTTAATGGTGCTGCAGACCTCTTTTCCTCCAGCCCCTTAGTCAATCTGCCCACACTACATTTGTTCGTGACTGATCAGAAGTTGTTGGTGGTGAGTGCAATGAATCACAGCTCCAGCTGGGGATCCACCCAACTTCCAGCAAGTCACGGGCTGCTTTGCTTGCAGGAAGCTGACCTGGCTGAACACAGCCTTTAAAAC